CATACTAATCTTTTGCCCCTGTATATCTATCTCTAAGTTGTACTGTCTTTAATGATGTTGGTGATGTATGGATGAAAAAGTAGCGGTGACAGTGTGCATCCCTATCTGACTCCTTTCCTAAAATTTACTTCTCTACGTTGCATCCCCAGCTCTATAACTGCCAGTTGCTCTTTATACAAACAAAGCATTCGGGAGGACGCCGGTTCGATTCCGGGTCCGTCTACCCTGGTGCGAGTTTTTCCGTGGTTTCCTTAGATGACTTAGGAAAATGCTGGGGCAATAATATTCAACAGATAATCTTTCATTCTCTTCTGTCTTCATTTCGTCCGCCTCATCTTTCTCACCTGAACTACCACCCACCCATTCCCACGATTCCTGAAAGGAGGCTGAAGAGGGCCTTTCGCCCTACCATCCGGCGTAGTCCGGAGGGATTGCCCGCCCACCAGCATTAGTGCCTGGTAGGAATGAAACACCCAAAAGTTTTTTTTTTATACAAACTAAGTATCACTCTTCTATCTCTACAACTCATCCCTACATCTTTAAGTATATTTAACATCTTGTCCTATTTAACATTATCAAAAGCTTTTTTCTAAATTTACAAATCCTACGTACGCACTTTTTCCTTTTTCTATCGTTTTCTCTATTGTTACCTGTAAAGCTAGAGTACTTCTTGTATTTAGATGTAAAATTACAGTACATGCAGCCCCTGTATTTTTATTAACAATTACCTTATGAAACTTTTATGTTTATGTTAAATTTTTAGGATGGAATACCGCAAGAAAATAAAAGATACCTTCGATGCAGTATCGGTCTTTCTATTTGTGAGCATTTCATACTCAGTTATAATCAATAAGAAATTCAGGTGGCTCGAATTGTGTGACAGACAATAAGGACTACACCGAATTAGCGGAGAGACGTCAAGAGTGACCACTTATGAGGGTTAAACGGGAAAGTCACATATTTGGCTGTCATCAATTGTTTTTGAAAAAACTTATCTCTGCTACAACAGTTTTGTAACTATTATTTAGAATGGGCAAATATTAGAAATCCTTTTTGTTTAATTCTAAATTTGATTGCATAACATTCGATAACAAAAAGATCGCATCTATTGTAGCCCTTCATTTTCTAAACCCAAATTACGTTTCGCTCAAAGTATTATTTTCTACAATTATCCCTTGTAACCTATTCTTGGTTATATCTGTATATATTTTATTCCTCCATGTTCATGATCGTTGTTCCCCTATAATTCTTGACAATATCCTTTCCATCACTTTTATAAACCGGTACACAACGGTACTATTGCACTACATTTCCATTCACTAAATCCTATTAGCTCTACACCAAAAACTACGGTGTTGGTTCATTTCACCAATTTATTTCTTCTTTCCATTTCTTTTTCCGTATTACTAATCTTTAGTTTCTGCTTCTCATCATCTTGTTCTCGTCTCTATCCCCTATACCAGGGATGGCGAACCAATGGCACGCGTGCCATTAGTGGCACGCGACACAATGTTTTGGGCACGTCACTAATATCAATCATAAAGTCTAGTTCAATATGGATCCAAAACTTTATTGAAACAAGGGAAACTAATTGAAATAGAAAGATTGGCGGGTAATACAAGTGAAAATGCTAATAACAAAATTTTGGAAACACGAAATGCGTTACCAAACACTTTTAATTGTTTGAAGAAGCTGGCTTATGCTATTTTAACAATGTTTTTTCCTCAACCTATGCCTGCGAGTAATTATTTTCAGAGATGAATAAAATTAAAAACTCGGTTAGAAATCGTTTGACAGATAATTCCAGTTCAGCATGCATTCTGCTAAAAGTAATATCTTACAACCCTAACATAATTATTTGTCGTCTAATCTGCAACAACAAAAGTCACACTAATTTTACTTTAATTTAAATTACACGTATAATTTAAACATTGCAAAATGTTCCTATTTTTTTGTAGTAAATAAAAAAGTTTAAGTTGATATTATTATTATTTTCCCAATAATCACAGAGACGAAATTATTTGATGGCACGTCTTTGGCCTGATTAAGCATTTTTAAGCATATCCATTACATCACTTTTTATTATTTCTTTTTCTACTTCTAACCATTCCATACAACTAACCATACATTCTTTTTTTACCTCACTTATTTTATTTAATAACTCCTTGTACCTACTTTATTCTCTTTCCTCTTTCGCTTCGGTCTCTTTCCTTATTACATTTTTCATTAGCTCTATCAAAACCACTGTCTTTTTCTCTTCTAACCATAATTTCTACTTTTATGCTAACCCAGTTTTGTTTCTTCAGCTCCATCTTTTCATGATCCGAGCACGTTTCAGCTTTCCTTTTCTCTTCTTTTTTTTTTATCCAAGCCAACAGTCCAATCACCTCTCTCTCGTACCCAAATACCCAAAATCACTTTTACCCTAACTAGTTTCATAATAAACTAGGTTTTACCCGTAGCTTCGCTCGCGTTGATGTCCTAAATACGATCATCAAAAATACAATAATTTGATGAATTTGTTCTGAAGTCCTGACTAAGATCATCAGAATAAAACTAAAGTTTCTATTTTGTTTTGTTAATCATACACTTTGCGCAGAATAACAATAAATACAGTCCTACTTTATCGAGATGAAAAGAAATTTTGCTATCCCTCGGGATAAAAAATACCCTATGTCCTTTTCTGTACCCCTGGCAAGGTGTGTTCAAAATTTCATGATGATCGGTTGAGTAGTTAAAGCATGAAATAGTAACAAACAAATTCACATTAGCATTTATATTAGTTAGGATTAGACAGGATCAGGGAAAAACTAAACTCCTTTCAGGAAGTAGATATGCTTCCAATAATTACAATACGTCCAAAACGAATAGTCAATGTTGACCATCAAAGAAGACACTGCAACGTGAGTGTTGTCTTTTCCTACCGTAACCTTGTGACCCCTAGGTATTTGCGTTAAAAAAAATAAGTAAAAATAAATAAACAAACTAAGATCGATAGATACGATCCCCGCATCTTCTGTCAATCGCACCGGTAGAGTGTGAAACCGTCCTTCCCAATTCACGGTCCACGCTCTGCAATTTTTACGTAAGAACTAGCTTTTCACTGTCATAAAGACTAGTTGTAACCAAAATGTGACTGGTCACAACTGGGATGAACTTAGAATATTATTTAATTCTAATTTTACTAGAATTGACCAAAGAGGAATTCTATTGATCGTTCTTCCCCTATATTAAAACGAATATTTTGTACATATGTTTGTGTTAAATTTCTCCCAGACAATTAGCTTGTCATCAGTATATTATATTAAATAAATAATATCTACTTACTATATAATTTACAATAATTTTGTAAAATCTTTTTCCTTTTTCTATCGTTTTCTCTATTGTTACACATAAAGCTAGAATGGCTTCCCCGCGTTACTCTATTTCTTCTAAACTCATGTTGATCTTCCCCTAATAATTCTTCCGCCCTTTTTGCGCCATATGCAAATACGTCCATGAGTGTCACGTATTTGAGCTGATATGATTGTCAAAAGATTTATGTCTTTCTTCATGTCCAATTGAATCGTTAAATCAATTTTATTTTTGCGTTTTATCGAAAATAGCTCTAAGCGGAGATTCTAACTAAACACGTTTTCAATCAAGGGCATTATCCAGGCTATCCTTGCACTGCAACATGTCACGAATTTAATTAAAGCAGATCGTACCCTTTTACTTGAGCTGAACCGCCAGACAAACTAACTTCAAATATGCTGAAAGTTTTCGAGGTTCTTCGCGTGGTTTCATATACTTACAAGAGTCGAGTGTACGTACATACGTAAGTTTGGAGGGTTACGGTAGGATTTCTGACTGTTTTGCTTTTGTTTCTAAAGTTATAGTTTGGTTAGTACCTAATACTGTTTTCATTTATTTTCTAGCTATCCTTATCTAAAATCTGTATGCCAATTTTAAGGATTTATTTTGCATGTAGGTACTTGGGAATCAAAGAAAAATAAAATAACTAGCTAAAAGTCTTTCGTAAAAATTGGACGATATA